ACTTGTACCATGTGAATCCTGTCGAGAGCAAGAATAGAGTCTGTCCAGGAATGCATCATGACGAATTTGACTCTTTCGTTCGTCAATGAGTTGACTTGGTCGATCGACAATCCCACGTTTCCGTCATGTCTCATCATTAGAGTGTTTCCATCATGCCGCATCAAATCACGCATTGTGTGGAAACAATGCCTCTTGAAGAATACGTACGCCTTCTGGACACCCGACGTCGTCGTAATAAACGCAGTTTTCTGTCCTTCATGAAGAAATTCTTCTTATCGGGGTCCCTCTCTTGCTCGAATATTGATATGAGGCGGGCCAGCGAATATATCGTCGTGATGGGGTAGTCCGGCTATGACTGGATCGACGTCTGGCACGACATTTCCGAGACATTTTCCTCGCATATCACATTCGAAATCGTAGTCGAATCGATAGTGCAGGTGTGGAACAGACCTAATGCAGAATTGTCCGAGCCTGATGACGAAACCCTGCAAGAAATAGCATTATTACTGGCAGACAATAGTTTTTTCCTACTCCATCTTTTAGTTTTGTTTACTAGAGACGTGTCATCTACTTCTTGCGGAACTTTCAATAACATATCATACTGAACTCTAATGGGTTCGTCATTACTACTGAGACGTGACAAGAGTGCTGATTTATCACTAACTTCTAACACTTTATAAGGTCCACTCCAGTCATTACAAAAATTAGGATATTTCTCAACTTTCTTTTTCTGTGGCAATTTCAGAATACGCAAGGACAATCTTTCCCTTCAACGCTGAACCTTCGGTTATAACTTTGCTTCACCTTTTCTCTCATTAAATTACGCTCCCGCACCGACCTTTGGGTCATTTCAATACTAGTCAAAAGCTTATGTTTATAATCATCTAAATCAAGCTGATTGTAAGTGAGCTCTTCTGGCAACATTACCTTTAACGGGAATCCCGGGTCAAAAACGTGCAAAATATAAAAGAGGCTTTCTCCAGTTAAATCATGGGGTGCTGAATTATATGCAAAGACTACCATGGGCAGTAAGGTGTCCCATTCAGCTGGTACTACTGCCTGCTTTTTCAGCATCCTGGTCAGAGTGCCAATCACTCTTTCAGTGATTCCATTTTCACGTGGGTTGTAACGTTTCGTTACAGACTGTTCTATTCCCACAGTGGCATAAATTTCCGACAGAACATTGTTCACAAACTCCGGCCCTTAATCGGAGTGTATAGCCTTGGGTCAGCGGCACCCTCCGCATACCCATCTTTCAAGAAATGATCTTGCAACTGTTTCTGCTTTCTTATCGGCTATGGGATATGCTTCCACAAACTTGGAGAAGTGGTCGATCACCACCAGTACATATCTATTTCCTCTTTCTGTCAATCCCAACTCCTCTAGGTCCATGTCTACCAGCTCAAACGGCTTGTTTGTTGGCTGTGGAGGGGTATTCTTCTCGTGTGCTCTCGTTACGAAACATTTCGTACAAGCTTTTGTCTATTTTGCTATGTCTTCTTGCATTCCCTTCCAGAAGAAGTCTTTGCTTAACTTCCAGTATAACTTCTTAGCGTTGGGGTGCCCTGCTAACGCAGCTGCATGCGCTTTATCAAATAGTTCCTTTCTCTTTGACATTATCATAAGCAGTCCTTCGCTTAGGAAAGCGTTTCTACCTTGCGTTCACCTCGCGCTCGCCCGATCCTACCGTAAAATTCGGCCCACTTTCGGAGCAAATTTCAGGTTTGGTAGACCCCCTTTTTCGCTCCAAACTTCAGTCATCGCTTAGGTAGGGGGTCTATTATTACATCATTACGAGAGCCAGGTACCCCCAGTCTGGTGGAACGCTGCCTGTAACATAGCTACATAGACAATGAGATGTAAAAGGAGATCCAAATTGAGTAATAAGAGAACGACAAAGTAACAAGAAAAAACAAAAACAAAACATAACATTCCTAAAAGCCGTACCTAAAAACTCGATAAAGCGGACCTCTAGCCTAGTCAGGAAAGTCAGAGCTACCGTATACCAAAAAAATGACATCAGCGGTTACATGCGCCACACAACTTCACCTTGCCTGCAAAGCGTTAATACGTCTAGTTTTTTAATATCGTTCTGTCCCCTAAACCTTTCCTTCACAAGAATTCTTGTTCAAGATCTCCACTCTTAGAAAAAGAAGTCGTTTTTCCAAACATAGGTTCGTGGTGAATAATGAGATACGGTAGTATGTCAGACCTCGCTACAATGTATATTGCAAAGCAAGGTGGCAAGAATGTATATAACATAGATCAAATCTCTTAAATTTTACAGGTATAAATCGAGCTTAATTCTTCTTCTTTAGGCCCTCTATACACGTGCCCCGCCGCACTGAAAACATACTACGGCATTGCCAAACATGTTTATAGTAGAAATCAGTAAAGTTTCAGGATATCGAAATCTTCGATGAAGCACTCCTCGTGAGCTAGGGGTCATCAAAAAATTCACATTTTTTCAAATTCCATTTCTCCTGTCGGAAACATGCTTAGCAGTGCCGTAGTTTATCTTCAGTACAATTTTGCAGCGTTTTCATTGTCCCCTCATGAGGATAAATCACTTTTGAAAATGAGAGATGCCATTTTTATGTGATCACCTGAGATTCTCAGGTGATCACACAAAAATGACAAAAAACCATTCTTGCATAGAAATAAACTGACATCCATTATGCGCAGGCATAAGTGTATAAGAACCTTCATGAGCAAGATAGAGGAAGAAGAAGAGAGATACGTAAAGTAGCGAAATATGACGCATCCCCCTTCAAATCTCCTCCCCTCCCCAGGGGATGTACGTGCATACGGGTTTTAGTCTCAGTGGTAGTTGCGGGAAGCACAAACAATGCGAGCGAAAAATGGAACAAGCAAGGTTTTGGCTAATTCCTAATTTCACAGTTTAGCTGTTACTTGAGATGGAATTTCTAATTTGGGTAAAGAAAACGTTGCTAGCTCTGCTATAAAACTAATTGGGCTCGAAATTGACCATTTTACCTGGTTTAATATTTCAAAACTTAGAATTCGCCAAAAGTCTTCAGATTTTCTTCTTCATGCTAGTCAACGCGATATTCGTTACTTGGTAGGGGTTTTCTAAGCTTACGGTACGTTTACGTTGATAGGTGAATATCTCAGTATGCTCGTATGCATAGTGTGTCTGATTGACATTGTTAACGAACCTTGTTATTGCTAATCACCTCCATTGCAATCAATTCCCCAATCTGATCCCTCAGCATTACCGTCAGATTGGCATACCGTACACCACGGCTGACTCTGTTTCTTACTCGTTTCTTTGACTCTGGTTCAAAAGGCCAGACACTGACACTGTCGCGTCATCTGCTTAATTATTGTGAAAAAAGATTATTAAGTCAATGTAGGACCTTGAGCGAACTGTCTTGCTATGGCAAAAATTTACAGATTCACTTCATTATTATCTAAAACAACGACTTTCACAGTCAATTTGTTAAAAATCTAGGACAGTACAGAAATGAGAAAAATACGGCCGCCGTTATTGCCAAAATTTCATAAGTGCGCTACGTTTACGTCGTTGAAGGTATTCAAGTTCAATAATTATGGAAGGCTAAGCTCAGGGGAACATGCAAAATCAGCAATTCAATGTATTGAGTGCTGATCCAAAATATGCGTCTTATATACTGTATTGGCTGGATTACCCTTGCCCCGAGTCAAAGCACTATGATGAAACTCTCATCTCTATACTTGTACAATCTTTCCCTTTACCCACATCTACACGTCAATTCCCTATTCCCGCTGTTTTAGTAATCAGCATGCTCACTTACCTCCCCCCTGTCCAACTCCCAGCGCAGCTCCAACTTTGCAAGAAAATTGATAAAATCGATAAAAGTGAGGATAATTTTTAAAACTAATATTGCTTTCGTAATCAGCGTGCTCGACTACCCCCTGTGCCAACTCCCAGGCCCGTAGCTCAAACTTTGCAAAAAATCGATAAAAATCGATAAAATCGTATCGATGACAAAAAAGTAGCCTATAACACCCGCCCCACCCCAAAGTGTATGCTTGCCAAGTTTGGTCCGGATCGGTTCCAAGATAAATCCTATTTGGAACATACTTACAGGCACACAGACACACAGACACACATACAAACAGACATTCAGCACTATATATAAGATTAGTCAAGCGATAAGTGGCGGAAATTTCAAAGCCGCTAAAAGAAACAGAAGGTGTTTTGACATATTGAATGTGGCTAAGTTGAGCATCAAAGCGTTGTTTTTCGCCTGAGCGTTAGGCGCTTTTGCGACGTACGCTTTGTATCATAAAGAGTGAAGGTGCTAGATGAGGTTTGAGTGCCGCGCGCTTGCCTCGCCTGGGCTCTGCGCCCTCCCGTAAAATTGTGTCGGAATATTGTAAATTTAAAGTTAGTCTAGGTCAATTCAAAAAGAGCCAAGTAAAGTAGTCTTTTTCAACTTCTTCATTGCAGTGTGAGTTTCTTGAAGTAATCGGCTTGTTTCCGGCGGAAACAAACTGAACTTTATATCACACTGCTGGCTACTTCTGTATTGATGTTAAATGTACGCAGAAGACTAATTTAGGATTTTGCAAACATCAAACTGGTCCAAAAAACCGAAATTTTTTCTGCAAATAATCATCGAAATTTTTCCTTATTCGTGTAAATGGGAAAATAGGAGCTTTGAGCAGTTGGCCAAAGAAGCAGCCTGAATGTAATAAAGATTTACTGTATCAAATGTAATGAGTGCAAAAAACATGTGAAAGCTAACCAATACCGATTTCGTTTCAAAATCGCTCCATTTTCCCTAGGTTATCTTGTCAGATGTGTTTGTAAACTGAGTATTTCTCGAAGGCGTATTTTCCGTCAACAAAATTTGCTGTAGCTGCGGCGCTGCCAAGTGTTAGTTTGTATATTAAGTTCACCTTTGTAAGGTGAGCCCAAATGATTAAGATCACATTGTGGTAGCCTTTCTAAAAAAAAGGTAGGAACGCAGATGTTTAAATTTGCTATACAGGTAACAAAGCATATTTCCGACGACTGGCTTCATTTGTGGCCGAAGGAATATCCATGGACAGTTGCAGGAGTTTTATTGAGAAGCAAGAAAGATATAGACAGGGTAAAACTATTTGGTGTCATACTTTAACCAAACAAAACAGTTCGAAGTTTTTTAGGGTTTGAGAGAACATCTCTGGCTTCTCGCACCTTACGTGATTAACAAAGAAGAAATTCTTTTTCCTCTGATTAGTGAATTAGAATTCGGATTAGGTTTGTTTATTTGATTATAAGAAGAAGACTCACAACACCAAGAAACAAATGCATGCTACGTAATGAAACTTTTCGTCAATTATGCATGATTCTATACCCCGATCACAGCAAAAAATTGCACTTTACTGCGCAAGCCTTGAATTTCTGCAACATAATCGCACGTTATCAGATTCTGTGAAAACCGGAAGGTAGTTGGGTTAGTCAGCCAAAGTTTGAAAGCGAAAAAGCCTTAGTTAGTAAAGTTGAATTCGGTTCCCCCGTATGCGATATGCTGGGTGCTTTCCTTACTATACGTCGCCACTGTAAACCAAAAACTCATTTGAATTTGCAGTTTTTAGCACTTTGCGCAATAGCACATACTAACAAATTTCTCACTATGCCAACGGAATCTTATAAAATTTATTCAGTACTGACTTGCCTAATTTTTAACTGCACGCGGGTATCGAGCCCGCCTTATACACGCTTTTGTACGTGTTCTTCTTGGTGGAGTGCCTCATTTCCTTCCACAAAATTGAAAACTGGTAAAATGTGTACGCGCACACCAAATATCCGGTTTGTGCAAAATTAATGGAAAAAAATGAAGTTTGACCAGGTGCGAAAAACTTATTTTCGATCTAATTCGTGCCATGTTCTGGTGTAAGTGTCTTCTCCATGCTCTCTTGTCCCGTGGTGGCCATTCCTGACATCAATAGCTAATTCCAATGAATAATTGATTGCATGTTTTCGATATTCGATGGGAGCATCGAAAGCAAATTCTGCGACTTAGTGTTTCATGACCCTAATAAACGAATATTTGAAATGTAGCTCTTTGGTCTGGGACTTGCTATTCCCAGGTACGTCGACTATGGGTCAGCGACTAACACAACCCTTACAATTTGCTTTATAAGCAAAACTGAAGAGCCGATACTAACTCGCATACCTCTAATACACTACCGTTACATCGATGCCTGCTGCATAGTGACTCAAACAAGTCCTGGGCAAGGCAAACTTTCCAGTTGTCACTCGCACTGCATAAAGCTCCTCATGAAGCACCACACCACCACCGACGAAGAAAGCTGTAAGAACATTGCCAATGTAAAATCTGCACATCCTATGCCTACGAAAAGAGCTGTAATTTCAAATATGTTAAAAACAGCGAAGTAGATGTGTTCCGAAGAACATAAACGAAGCAGATGACGAAAGTTAGCCCTTGTCATTGCTGCAGCAACAGTTATCATTCTTTACCACGCATCCGTTGTTTAAAAAATAACAGAAAACGATAGTAATTCCCACTTTGTCTTCCATTCATTTCTGTAGCGTTAGAGGGGATTTGAAAAATGCATTCATTGAGCACAACTGCAAGATTTTGTCGAATATTCTAACAACAACATCAAAATACAATTAGTTCGTCATGGCCCTATGACCAATGTTGTACATCAGACTGATGCATAGTATATAGTGACCGCCAAAAAAGTTGCGGACAAGTCGCCCTCCTTTTTTCATCGGTCATTTTCGGACGAAAAACAAAGATGAGAAAATGATTGGATTGCATAGGGGGAACGCTCTGAAGGACTTCTTCAAAGAACTTTGTGGACATGTCCGACCATCGATCCGGCAGTCTCCCTGTTCTACGCTTGTCGTCCAGCGGTGAAAATCCGTTACAGCTCTGGTCCACCGATTGTCATCAAAACGCATCACGGTCCAGCCCATCTGTTTTTATTCTGTTTGGCGTATGTGGCATCATCCCTGATCTTGGATCGTTTACGTAAGATAAAACTACGTATCCTTTCACTTGGGCGAGTCGGGACACTTCTAATAACTCTCTCTCTCAACAGCGTGTTTGATGACGTTCACCATGCTCGTTCTGATCCCAAGTGGTCCAGTTTCCGAAGGTACGTCAAAGGAGGCGGACGTCGCGTTGAAGAGATGGGCGCGGAGCCAGATGCTTGGTCTTTTTCACTATGGCCCGTAGTAAATCCCCCATCAGGGCACGGACCGGCGTTGATCTCATCACGCCTCAGTCTAGCATCCGGCGAGCCATTGATCTGGATGGGATCGCTTCCGAGGCATTACAATCAAGTGCGTTCTTGATCAAGGAACCACTTGACCTGGTTTGGTCAAACGGGTAAGCGATTGGAGTTACATGCGCGCGGCAGTGGTTCGACTCCGACTAGCAACACACCTTTTGATGCATCGCTGGGCAATCTTTGATAGCGGCCACTAGCAATCGATGATGACCGCTATCAAGGGTTTCGCCTGGCAAATGCACGGATAAAACAAAAACACAATTTGTGACGAAAATTTCATGAAAAAAACGAAATGGTTGCAGCGTGAATTCAATGAAATAAACAAATGAGTTCTTCTTTTGAACAGCTAGTGAAAAAAACAGTAAGGTTTAACATAAAAAAGAAGATTTGTTTTTTGTTATCCTCGCCAAAATCAGCTGTTCATCGATCCCCTCCTTTTCGGGCGCGGTTGTGCAGTTTTGCGCCGATTTTGTCTGCATTTTTAGCCTGACTGATGTGTATCGTAAGTTACTCAGGAGCAAATTACGGGAGTCTTGTCTGCGTCTCCTCTTTTACACACCATTTGCATCACTCTAACATCAGTTCACGTTCAGGTCACTTGAACGTGAACTGATGTGAAAGAGTTGACTGCAGCAGGTGGACAGATCGTCAACCATCAGTTCACTCGCCATGCATATAGCATGGGGAGGTGGGCGGTCATCAGCTCACCTCACCTAAGCTCAACTGATGGGATAAGTTCAGTTCACCTGAACTGATCGAACTTTACTACGTGCCTATGTCCTCAATTGCCTTGTATGCTCCTCATTTCCCTTGTCTCTTCCTGCTCACAAGGGAATGGTCAGAAGTCGAAGTGGCCAATCCATATAAGCTGCATATCATTCGATGCAGCGTTGAATTCTGACTTCAAATCTGTCTTCCATATCTGCAGAGCGCCTTTGTAGGCAAAGTTATGAACACCTTTACTGCGAAAAAATCGCACACAAAAATTGCGAAATTAGGCACATTATTGCTCTTTCAGCTCACCTCTAGGTACGGGCCATATGAACTGACCTAGCTGCATGTTTTGGTCCAACACTGAGCCGGGAATGGCTTTGTACGGCTAAGTTTGCACTTCACACGCACAATTTCTTAGCAAAATAATGGCTTTCAACGGCTTATAATTTCGTTCACAAAAGCGCTCTGCAGATAAGGAAGACGGATTTGGAGTCAGCGTTTTATGCTTCATCTAATGGTATGCAGCTTGTATGGATTGGCTACTTCGACTTCTGACCATTCCCTTGTCAGTTCCTCGGCTAGATCTTCATCATGCTGAGTTCCCGACCTAGGTAGACGTAACTAAGCATTCGGCGATCGTCATTCCATTCAGCTTAAAAGGAGCATCAGAAACCCCATTCGTTTATCATAAACATCATCTTCGTCAGATTTAGCTTTAAACCAATCTTTCCACACACGGCGTCAAGCTGAGTTAGCTTTCGTTCGGCTTGCGTGATGTCCAGTGTGGTTAGGACTATGCTATCAGCAAAGCGAAGGTGGTGTAAGGTGCCGTTGACTTTCACACCCATGCCATCCCACTCCAAAGGGCCGGGCATACATTACGCGATTTCATCGCCGCACGATTCTTCCGGCAAGACAACTGTTACGAGTCACGAGTCCATTGCATGCTGATCATTTTGCCATTCGGATGTGAGGGTTAGTCGGCGCAACTGATCGCTGACCATTTTTTCCCCGGGCATACTTCCTCCACTGAAACCGTCGCATTTGCCCGAATCTCAGCGATATCGCGTCGCTGACTTCATACGGGCGACGCGACTTAATCGCCGAGATTGGACTTCTTTTTTGAAAGTTTCTATGATCGTTTTTTGATTTTTTGTGCTCATCTATTGTTTTCTATTTCAAAAATAGTTCTATTTGGCCATAGTGCGTTGCTTCTCCGTGAATCGATTCTCTTGTATCCATTTCTGGCGCTACCGTGACCCAGAATTTCAAAGTCGTGAATTTCGCTCAGACTTGGTCTAGGGGGTTATTCGACCCGCTGATGCCGAATATCATGGTACGTTTGTGCGCTAGCTCCATTCTCTGGAGCTACCGTGGGTATACTGTAGAGGGTCAAAATGGCAGACTCGCTCTAAATTTGTTGTGGGGGAGGGGATCTCTTGGCGCCCTGAACATGATTATGATGTTGATTACTCAGAAAAGCGCAATTTTTCTGCAAACAGTAAACAACAACTAACATCAACTACAACAACAGTTACCTTTTTTGGGTCAATTTAGATACAAAAAAGTCTGGTAAAGACTCCATCATGCAAAATGAACACAATATTCGTGGTCAGAACATCAAACAACTTCACTGCGCAAAGATTTAGGCAGGTCTATGACTTTCACTTACCATGCACTGTCCGCTACTCCGTGTCTATGTCCCAAAACGCAATGCGAATATGATTTTTTTGTGATCGGTATGTTAAACAACTTCTCTGACGGCATTCCAGCCAAATCTATGGTTTTGTCCCCTTACATATTCCTACCGTGACCCCCGAAAATGCCGCTTTATCATGCATATCGATTATGATATCTGGCATCAGTGGGACGAATAGTGTGAGAACAAGAAAGACTGAAAGTGAAAAGAATGCAAGTGTGAGAATGCATGAATCGCCGTAGAAGTATGCCCATGAACAAGCAACTAGCGATGTAATCGCCGCGATTCCGTCGCTACTTGAAGCAAATCGCCACGAACAGAAATCGCGGCGATGAAATCGCGTGAAGTATGCCCGGCCCTCAATGCCCGCATGACGTTTTGAAAGCAACGCTGAAAAGTTTTAGCGATATTCCATCGCTTTGTCCTGCTCCTCTCTTCACGTCGATGGTGATATTCTTGTGAAACCAGTGCTTCACCTCTGCTTACAAAGACTCGCACTGGCTCTTAAGCCCCACTCATTTTCGCATAATGATGGCATTGAAACTTACCAAGCAATGCCGAGTATCGCGAACAAAATGTAA